AAAAAAAAAAAAAAAGGTTCAATCAATTAATTTCAACTTCTTGCGGGAAAAAAAAGATCTTGCAAAGTTGGAATGGATTGATTGAACTTTTTAGTCCCACCCAGTCTGCCGTTACCACCGCAGCCATGCCCACCCGGCACCCAACGATGCATAAGTGGGTTTTGGGTTGCAGTTTGGGCACTCGGTCTCTAAAAGGTTCGCCATCACTGGTATATACAAGCATATATACATACTTAAAACTTCAATGTCTGCTAGTGAAAATAATAAGCCAACTATAAATAGTGTGTCAGAAAAAAATGATTTTTTTTCTCTTGTCAACAGGCAAGCTCACACTTTAACAGTCCTGTTTATCCTTACCTGCACCCTGGGCTATGTGACCTTGCTTGAAGAAACGCCACAGGACACAACCTATAACACAAAGAGGTAAATACCTTTTACAGAATACTGCAGCAAATGCAGTGTTGCCCACTTACTAACTATTGTAGTTCATTGGGATACCAGCTTTTCAATTGCAGTTCTTTGATTGAGATAGTCTTCAACTTACAACCATTCATTTAACGGTTAGTCAAAGTTACAGTGGCACTGAAAAAAGCACCAAGTCTGGTATTTATGATCATCACAGTATCTCCACGGTCACGTGATCAAAAATTGGGCTCTTGGCAAGCAGCATGTATTTATGAGGGTGGCAATGTCCCAGGGTCATGTGATCACAATTTGCGACCATCCCAGCCTGCTTCCAACAAGTAAAGAGAATGGGAGAAACCAGGTTCGCTTAACAGCCTTCTGATTTACTTAACAAATGCAATGATTCACTGAACAACCGTGGGAAAAAGGTGTAAAATTAGGTGCACTGCCTTGCTTAGTAATGGAAATTCTGACCCCAATTGTGGTTATAAGTTGAGGACTACCTGCATTTGGATCTGTTGCCCATTTAGTAGTTATTTCCTAGTCTCATTTGAAAACTAATGTATAGTACATGATAAAAATGTATATTAAATGTTGCATATTGATTAATCCTGCTTTTTAAAAGGTTTCTGTTTATTAAATCACAAGATAATTTGATAACTCTAAAAATCTTTCCAAGTTGAAAATGCTTTCTTAATATTTCTCTATTTGATAAAGTTTCATTGAACTTACAAAGATTGGAATCAAATAGCATCTTTTAATATATCCTAAAGCAAATGTTCTGTTAAATTAGATTTGAAAATTAATGTATTCATACAAAATCATGATTCATTCTACATGTAGTCTTAAACTTACGAGCAGTTGCTTAACAACTATTCAAAGTTGCAGCAGAATTGAAAAAAAGTTACTTTTGACCTGTCCTCAAAATTATGACACCACCCCGGCAGTCTTATGATCACATTTCAGATGCTTGGCAAGTAGATACGCATTTACTAGATTCAGACTTGCAGCCGCCTAATTAGCTTAACAACCACATGATTTGCTTAATGACTATGGTGACTTGCTTAACAGTTATCATAAAAATGGTTGTAAAATCAAGTCTGGTCACATATAGTATGTTTAGGTGTATGTCATATATGTGTTTCACTTTGAAAGCGGGAATCTAAATTTCATTTTTGATGTGTGCCGTTGTGCCCACAGTAAAAAAAATGACAATAAAGGTTATCTTATCTACCTTATCTTACCTTATGATCACAATGCCTTACAACCAAAATTCTGGGCTCAAATGAGGTCATACGTTGAGGACTACCTGTATACTGCTTTCAGTGAAATAAAATGTTGGACTACAGCTGACTTCTTTCTGTAAGCTCAAAACTACTGAATGCCAGAGTATAACATACTGAAAAAAATCCTGGTTCTTGTGAATCTGATAGTGTGAGTAGTAGGGCATTGTAGAGTTGAAATGGAATGTAAACAAAGATTAATTATTTCATCAGTTGAACACCAGTCTAGTATCATCATTTCTCTGCTCTTTTCTCCCAGTGATACTTAGAATAAAACTAAACTATTAAGGCCATAATTATTTGTGAAAAGGTGGAAGGGTATTTTATGAACTCCTTGTTGAAAGGTAATACATATATATTAAGTAGGTGACAAATTAGTTATATAAAGCAGACATACACTTTGAGAGTGAACTTTCATCTGCTAGTTTACCTGGCAATTCATTGGAATAGCCTGCCAACTGAATTATTGCTAAATTTTGATTAGTGTAATTCTGGAGGCAAAAGTGTACTAAAATATGTATAGGTATCTTATATCTGGCTGACTCATTAGCACCTAGAACAATTAGACTTCATAGCTTAGTTTGAATTACCATATCTGAGTTTAATGTACCTGAACATGACTTTTGCCCTATTGCTTGTCCTACTGTGACACGAATTATCTGTAAAACGGTCACTAGTTTTGCAGTAAGATAGAATATTAAACTCAGTGAGTGATCTTGGATTAATCAGTTTCTTAGCCTAATTTATCTCAAGGGTTGTTATTTAAGGAGGTAAATTTAAAGGATACAATGCCATGTATGTAGCTTTGAGTTCCTTGAAAAAAGGCAGGATATGAATGCAGCAAATAATAATAGTTTATCAAGTAATCATTTGGCTCCTGAAATATGCATTGTTTTGCTGAGGAATCATAGGGTGGGAAAAGTTTTATATATGAGAACTAATGTGATCGTTGGACGAAATTAATTCCTAATGCTAAAGTTTGGAATGTAACCAAATATATTTACCTACTAATTAACTTAAGGATACTCGTTGAGTATGGTTTGTCAGCCAGCTACAAATCCATCTGGTGGTGATGTTGTCTATTCCACCTTTTTCTAGCTTATCAAGCAGTAGATTATGGTCTACCTTGTCGAATGCCTCACTGAAATCTAAGTATACTATATCCACACGTTTTGCTGGTCTAATTTGGTCACTTTATCAAACAATGAAATAAGATTCGTTTGGCATGATCTGTTTTTAACAAACCCATGCTGGCTACCAGTTATTACTTCGTTTGCTTCTAGTTGTTCACAGATCGGTTTTTTTATTATCTTTTCCAGGATCTTCCCAGGTATTGATGTTAGACTGATTAGTCTGTAGTTTCCTGGGTCTTTTTTTTTTCCTTTCTTGAAGATGTGAACCACATCAGCCCTTTTCCAGTCCTCAGGTACTTCCCTGGTGCTTCAGGATTTTTGAAAGATATGATGCAATGGTTCTGAGATAACATCTGCCAGCTTCTTCAGAATTCTGGGATGTAATCTGTCGCGTCCTGGTCATAGTAGCAACTGTGAGAGGGATCTTGGAATCCTAGTGGACAATCACTTAAATATGAGCCAGCAGTGTGCTGCAGCTGCCAAAAAAGCCAACACAGTGCTAGGCTGCATTAACAGAGGGATAGAATCAAGATCAAGTGAAGTGTTAATACCACTTTACAATGCCTTGGTAAGGCCACACTTGGAATACTGCATCCAGTTTTGGTCACCGCGATGTAGAAAAGATGTTGAGTACAGAGAAGAGCAAGAAAAGATGTTGAGTACAGAGAAGAGCAAGAAAGAGTACAGAGAAGAGCAACAAAGATGCTCTTCTTTTTTGGGGGGGTGCAGTCTGAGGTGCTTTTCTGTTTATCTCAGGTATGTTTATTGATATGACTTTTTAAGGGATATTTGGTGCTGTTTCTTTGCTAGGTGTCTGCATATTTTCTTTGAGGGGGAGGTTGTGGATCTGTGTATTTCCATCTAGGGGGAGAAATCAATTGCTCAGTTTTAATGGGGCTGCTTCTGGTTGGGTTAGATTGGGCAGTAGGGGTTTGTTAGATGTATGCTGCTTCTTCCTTTGATTGTTGTGTTTCCTTCTATGTGTGACATACCTCCATTTGTCTTCCTTTAATTAATTTTAGTTTTTTAAAAATTGTGATTTTTGTATCTCAGATTTTTTTTATTACAGCCACCAAGAGATAATCAGCTGTTACAATATTATTCATGACTAACTTGTTAGCTAATGTTTTGATCTGGATATTATGCTGTGAAAGTCTGTTTCCTTTTTCAGGTGAACAAAGAATTCATGTTGCAATCTCTAAATCACAGACACTTTTGTTATAACAAACTACAAATAGTTGTTGGGTTACAACCACATTTTAGGCAGACAAAAGCAAAGTTTGCAAGGGGTGATCACATGATTCTTGGGCACTCCAACAATTCTAAGTGCAAGTTGGTTGCCAAGCATTTGAATCACAGTCATGTGACCATGGGCACTACAACAGCTGGATCTTCGAGGAACAATGGAAGTCACTTAGCACTGTTGCAACTTCAAAACTTTCCTGACTATCTGTAATGCAAATTTGGCTCAATCCTATTGCTTAGAAGATACTAATGAGGCACAAGAAAAGATCATTTTTGAAGCATTATATACTGTACCATATGCTGTTTAAACAGAGTTTTGTCCTGGGACAACAGACTAGCATTTGAGACCCATCAGGATAACCTAATGTCTTTAAATTATGTGAATTCTGCAATGTATTGACTTCTTAGATCATAAATATGTGATAACCAACTAAACTGTAAATTCGCCACCACTACTGTCATCCAGTCACTGAGCTCTACACTTCTATGGCCATTTTGGTTGGAGTTGTGAGAGAGGCTGAAAATCCTCTATGCCTTGGGAGGGGAACTTGGATATAGAATATTGATTTTATAGAAAACTGAATGCAGATCTTCCAGGAGGTTCATATTCTTATGTCTAAACAAAAATAAACCTAAAAAAGCATTTGCCCTTAAAAGTGTCATGCAGGTCGTATGAGGCAATTCCCATTCATGCAGCAGTTGTGATGGCAATACTGATCTCTTCTTGGAAATCAAAATACTAATATTTCCATGGGTTGAAATGAAAAAAACAGCCACTTGCTTTCCAGTCTCTAGAAAAGGAGACGTGGCTATTCTAGGAGCAGAGCTTTCTAGTTCAGGTTGGCAGTGGAAGAAAAGTCTCAACACAGAGAACTAGGGGTGACATGACAGCAGTGTTCCGATATCTCAGGGGCTGCCACAAAGAAGAGGGAGTCAAGCTATTCTCCAAAGCACCTGAAGGCAGGACAAGAAGCAATGGGTGGAAACTAATCAAAGAGAGAAGCAACCTAGAACTAAGGAGAACTAAGGGTTTCCTGCCTGAGCAGGGGATTGGACTAGAAGATCTCCAAGGTTCCTTCCATCATCATCATCATCATCATCATCATCACCATCATCATCCTTCTTCTTCTTCTTCTTCTTCTTCTTCTTCTTCTTCTTCTTCTTCTTCTTCTTCTTCTTCTTCTTCTTCTTCTTCTTCTTCTTCTTCTTCTTCTTCTTCTTCTTCTTCTTCTTCTTCTTCTTTCTTCCTCCTCCTCCTCCTCCTCCTCCTCCTCCCATTCTAGCCTTGGCAAAGGAGAAGATACATTAGGAAGGAGATCCTCTGCATGTTTTCGCAGCTGAACTTTGGATAAGGAAACTACATGTAGAGAAGTAGATTGCTTTGACCCCAGGTTTCTACCTTTAGGCCTTTGCTTTCTCTCTGTTATTAAATTGAAGTCATCCAGCTGGTGGCCTTTCAGTCAGAATGACTTTATTTACTTTTTTACTTCCTTAATCCCTGAGCCTAATGTGGGAGACATCAGCTTCAAAGAGAAGAATGGACTATTGCTATTTGGCAGTATCTTATTACAAATCTTCCTGAATCTAGGGAGGGCAAAATTCCTTTTTCTAAGATAAAGGGCTCTTCCCCACTGCCATGTTTTTTGTTTGCTTGTTAGATTTGTTAAGGCTGCCCAACTGTAGAAAGATGTTAGTGTGTTCTCCTCCTATTCTTAAAAAAAAATAGGTCAGTACTAATAGCATTGCCCCCCAGCTTCTAGATTGCTTAATCTAGGGTTTGAATAATGCTTCTGTTCTAACAAGTCAGCCTACGTGTTTTTTCAGGAAACTGTAATTTTAAAACAGGAAAGGTGACTTATATCCGTTCTTGGTGATTTACTTTGCCTCGATTGAAATTAGTCCATTTTCCTGCTTAGTAACTAAACTTGTATTTGGGAGTTCTGTCTGGTAGATTTAATTCAATAGTTATCTCCTCTCCACCCATCATCTCGACTATCTTCTTTTGAGAACAAAGTCTGAGGGACACAAGTAAACTTCTTAAATAAAATCCTAATAAACTTTCCCTGTCTTTTGATCCCTGTTTCTGTATAATAATCTGCACAAGAGCTAATTCAAGTTAGTAGAAATTCTCACATACACTCATCATATAACTTACTGATAAGCTGTTATAATGATGGATTCATATATCATGCTAGATTATTTATTTGTATGCTGTCCATTCCTAAAGGCTGAGACAGGTGCAGGATTTTAAATTGGAGTAAGGGAAAGAAGTCATGGAGAATATTTTTGTGGTTGCTAAGAATTGAAAACGACTTGATGGCATATAATTAATCAGTAAATCGTGGGAAGCAAGACAGACAGCATTGCCATTCCAGGTATTTAAGAAGTGAGTGCAAATTGTGCAGGCTAATGACTTTTAATAAAATGTGATAGTTGCAAAAGATGTTATCATACTCCTGAATTTTTGCAAATATCTCGTTAAGAAAGTTTCCTTCTTACTGATATGGCTAGCCTAGAAATAAAAAACATCAGAATAATTACTTGAAGTATCCCCTCTTAAGTTGAACATGTAAGGTTGGCCCTCTTTCTCCCCTTTTTAAAAAGGTATGTCGTCTTTGTATAACAGGATTAGTTTGGAATTAACAGAATAAGAGTTATATTTTAATTTGGTTAAATTGAACAATTTATTGGTTAGATTTATTGGTTATGTCCAGGCTTCAAGATTTCATTTTAAAAGATATTTTAAATTTGCAGTTTGTCAGATTATGACGGCCAGAAGCTAGATAGATCAGAGTCTGTTGGTAGATTTCTTGGTCATCTGCATTAGTTTGTCAAGGATTTCCAAATTATAATAGCATTAATGGAAAGATTTTTTCTCCCTTGTCTAAACTGGGTTGTTGAGATGAAAGAATGCTTGTTTGGCCAGGTCTATAAACTCATTTTTGAGGCTGAAAATAATTCCTATGTTGCCACCATTTAATATTTTGTTCTAGTTGGTCAGTTCTGTAAAAATAGAATTATAGAAAAATGGTTATGTAGCTATCAAATCCAGTCCCTGCTAGATACAAAACATTGCAAACTAAGGTTTGTCAGTGTTGTAACCAAAGTTCATGATACTTCATCAAGACTGGATTGCCTTAAAGATTTCATTCATTCAGTAACAAATTCATGGTTCAAAAATATCCACAATGTAAAGTCTAAGACAAACAGAAAACAAAAATAATACTGACATGTTGACTATATCAAGATTGCATGTAACCAAATTCACTAATTCTATAGAAATTGGAAAGAGCCCACTGGTCATTCATTCATTCGTTTATTTGTATCAGCCTTTATTATTTTTACAAATAACTCAAGATGATGAACATATCCAACGCACCTTCTTCTCTTATTTTCCCCAAAACAACAACCCTGGCAGGTGGGCTGGACTGAGAGACAGTGACTGGCCCAAAGTCACCCAGCTGGCTTCCATGTCAGGCTTTAAATGCTGCTGTACAGAATTTGACTGTCTTATGTGTAAAGTATGATGCCTGTTTATAGTAAGACAACACAGTAATTGTTTGGACAACCTGAAATATTTTACTTTAAAAAATTGAACTTACTTATTCTGCATGTTTTTGTAATATTCTTAATAAATAAGATGTAGCTAGCTGTTTTGTTTGCAACTGACTCACGTGTATGCTACTTCCTCTTAGGAAATCTTAATAAACTAGTCATCAACATCTACCAAGGCAGATAATAATACCATATATTAAAGGGAAACCAGGAGAGGCCTCTGCAATATCTAGGGTAATTCCAAGATAGCAAGATAATCTATTTCTGAGACTTAATGTCACTGGAAAAGAGGTTTAGATGGTTTTATAATCTATGTCCATACGTCATTGTTTAAGAATATCTATAGATCATTTATATTTCATTGACACCAGAAATATCTATGTGAAAGTAATTAGTCCAGTGAGGCTTTCTTCAAGTCCAACTGATCTTAATCAAGGTTCATTTAAGGAGCCAAGCCTGCTAGACAAAACATCCATTTTAGTCCAGTCACCACTAGCCAAGATAAAATTAATAATTGTATCTCCTAATTTTATATTGCATGAACAGTCAACATGTTAATAAATTTGCAAGTATTGTTACAATATACTGAGGACTGTTTTGTTCTTAATGTTTTCCAGAGGTATTGTAGCCAGCATTTTAGTTTTTTTGTGTTTTGGAGTCACTCAAGCAAAAGATGGTCCATTTTCAAGACCCCATCCAGGTAATCCAAGTAGCTCATAGCATTAAAATAGACTGATAAAGTAATCTTATGTAAATTTTGAAAACTGTCCTTTTTTGATATTACCTATTAAGATTTCCTTAATAAAATCTGTCGTAGCATTTTGAAAGTCCTAAAGATTCTATATGTACTAGTTTAGCCTTATGCCCAACTATAATATGTCTACGTTTTTCTTTTTTGTTAATTTGTTCTGCTAGCTTACTGGAGGTTTTGGCTATGCGTCAGTGTTGTCTATGAGCTTTTCCTCATTTTCATACTTTTTCAGGTAAGGAATTTAAAGTTTGTATTTTAAAGAAAAACTTAAAGATAAAAAGTAGAGAGCATAATCATCAGCTTCACTTCTTACCATGAAAGCATAAGTAACATCATTTCAATAGTCTATCTGACTATTGTTATTATAATACCCCTTCCCCTTTTTAATATAGTTTGGTTAACTCAAGGCAGTAAACATGCCTAATACTCTCTCCTCCTATTTCCCCACAATAAAACCCTGTGACAGAGTGACTGGCCCAAAAGCTACCCAGCCAGTTTTCATGCCAAGGCGGGCTTAGAACTCACGATCTCCTGATTTCAAGGCCAGCATCTTCACCATTACACCAAACTGTCTTTCTAGTATTATAGTACATTATATAATGCAGCTTTCCCCAACCTAAGCATCTTGTGGATTTCAACTCCCAGAATTCTCAGCAGTGGGTTTGATTTAATCTGTTTGGCAGTAACTCTGCAGGATCTTGTGTTGAGGTCTTTCTTATATCTACTGAACTTTCTGTAACTGAAGATTCCACAGATTTAATCTGGATCTTCTACAAATAAAATGGTCATTTCTGTTTGCAATGCAAGAATCAAAATTTTATTTTAACTCCGTTGTTTTAGACATGCTTGTAAACATTCAAGCAACACTTTTAACTTATATCTTTCTTTGAAAAGTTTAGGATGGTTAGCTTTCTGTACTGGGACAAACCATTTAGCTAGTAGGATAATTGTTCTGCTGAAAATGTTTAGCCCTTTTTCCAGGTTTCAGTTCATCCTCAGAAGGAAAAAATTACATCAATCTCAAATGGATAACGGCTAGTTTCTCTTTCTTTTTTAAGCAGAAGCAATGGCAATGTTCATATAACTTTTTCACTGGGTCATGGGTCAAGTTAATTTGTCATATGATTACCAAACCCCAGACAAGATCAGGGAGGGTCATTTCAATTATGATACAGCTAATGTGAATTTTTAGTAAAACAATTATTCTTGGAAAGTTTGGAAAAGCAAAAGGCATATTTTCTTAGGGATGGCCATAATTTGTAGAAAACTAATAAAACTTTGATTTTAAAAAAATTATAAGAACTAAATGGACATTAACAGTATGCATGAAGCAGAAAAATGTTTGAAATGAAATATTTAGAATGGCTTCTTAGAACATGGAATATAGTATGTTCTGAATGAACTTTGGTCCAAAAGAATAAAATTTGAAACATTCTAAATTATCTTTCATAAATAACAGAATAATCTTA